CAAACATGTGCTTAGTACTATGTATCTTCTATTCTCTTGACAGGTAGCTTACATTTGAATATTGCATTTCACTTCCAAGATATGAAATAGTCATTCCTGACCTTTTCTAGGCCACTGAGACCTTTGAGAATATAATGAAATATATAGACACTGTAGAAAAATAGTAACAGGCATTCATGCAGAAAATTTTGCATTCAGCTTTAAGGACCTTCTAAAGCCAACCAACAGCAACTTGTCTCAAAAGTTTATTATGATGGAATTGAGTATTATTCAGCTCCATCTTAAAGTTACTCAAAAGCCTTTATTTTCTGTGTGCCCTCAGGAATGACAGCCTTTACACTTACAGATTAAACTTTGTGTCTTTGAGAATGAGACTTGAGTGATTGTTACTGCGGTTTTATGGGGCAAAGTTCTCATTTTAATAACTGTTACCAGGTCAGTAACAGTTACTGATGACTTCCAAGGAAATAAGATTGCTGCGGTCAGAAGCTCAAAATCATAAACGTGGTGGACTTATGATTTTTATTGCATAAACTTCTGAGCAATATGAACAGCACTTGAGAATGTTCACAAATCAAATGATTCAGTTTTCCTGTTTTATTCCGAGCTTGTTTATATGCATGGTATTTCATGTAGTTAATAATTATTGTATCAGCATTCAATGTTAAGTCAACGAGTGCTTTTTGAAGGTCCGTTGGAATAAAACAAAATCCTTACTGTCATAGAGTGTATATTCTAATCAGAAAAGATGGGCCATAACCGCATACATTAAGAGTATGTAATTTAAAAAACACACACATATTTTATTGATTTTTTTACAGAGAGGAAGGGAGAGGGATAGAGAGCTAGAAAAATCAATCAGCTGCCTCCTGCATACCCCCTACTGGGGATGTGCCCGCAACCAATGTACATGCCCTTAACCGGAATCAAACCTAGGACCTTTCAGTCCGCAGACTGACGCTCTATCCACTGAGCCAAACCGGCGTATGTCAGGTTTTAAGAGCTGTGCAGAAGAGCACAGAAGGGTGAGGTTTGGAGAAACAGTGCTGCGGAAGGATAGGCAGGGAAGCCATGAGACCAGCTCCGAAACCTGAAGGAAGTGAGGATGTGTGCTTTTGGGGAAGAAGGTTACAAGCAGAGAGAACTGCAAGTGCAAAGACCCCTCAGTGTACTTTGCCTTTTTTAGAAAAACTAGGAGGCCAGTAAGCAGGAGGGAAAGTGAGAGTTGAACTTGAGGTTAGAGAACTAGCTGGGGCTCCACCATAGGCCTTATAGGCTGGTCAAGAGTTTTCTTTCTTTTTTTTTTTTTTTTTAAATCAATCTTTATTGTTCATATTCTTACAAAGGTTCCTCATTTCTTCCCCCCTCCACCAGGTTCCCACCCCACCTTCCGCCCCCTCCCCATCCCCCATTGTCTTCATTTATAGGTGCAGTTTATGTTCAGTCTCTTCCTCCCTCCCTTTCCCCGATAATAAATCCCTTTTCAGATAGTAAATCAGTTACTTAGCATTTTCTCATATCAATAATACCACTACATACCCAATGATACATTTCACACAAAAGACATTTCCAAAAGTTTACTCTGAATGAGATTGGGGGTTTGGAGTTGAAGAGAGACCTGTTCTGATTAAGTTTGTGAGACTCATTCTGGCTGTGGTGTGGAAACCAGCTTGGCTGGGATGGGGAGAGTAGAAGCAGGAAGACAGATCAGGAGGTTAATCTTCATTTTAAATCTTTTTCAGCGGTTGCAAATTAGTCCATCTCTCTGCTGTTGTGTATACAGGTAGTTTCCTTTTCCCCTATTAAAATAACAATAAAACAAACACTTGTGTATGCAGCTTTTTCTTTTGAAATATTTCCTAGCAATTGATTTCCAGAAGGACTACAGAATCAAAGTATGTGAATATACTTGAGTTCTTGGTGTTGTACCTGTGAATTCCTTCAAAGAATAGGTTACAATGATAGCCACATTTGTTGATTTTAAGTTTCATGGCAATGTCACCTTCATTGAGTATTATTATTATTTAATATTTTAAAGACAATTATAGATTGTTAGGTTTAATTTTCCAATAGCTCACTTAGAGTTCATATATTATTAGCTAATGATTGGGGATAGAGAGATGAATTAGACAGGGTCTCTGCCCTCAGGGAACTTTACATTCTGTCTTAATTTTTAATCTGATAGTTAAATAACTTCACATCCTGCCAGTGTTCACTCAGGCTCACGAACTTTGTTCTGTCCCCTTTACACAGTCTGTGTGACTGGTTAAGAGGACAGTTGATGACCTTTTATATACGATTGGCATTCCAAGCAAACATTTGATTTTTCAGTGATAATTTTTTTTTCTTACAAAGGGATTTTTTAGTGGTATCTGCAGTTTACTTGATTTCTGTTCTGTGTGTCTTTAGAATTTTACAACTGTGACAGCCTGTTTTGTTCTTTGCAATAAATTATGCAACTAGTACTTAGTTGAGGACTCTCACAGTTGAATTTTTAAATTGTAATTCTTTATAGTTATTCAAAACACAGAAACTATTGTTTCTATTAAATAAGGTCAGCATAACAGCTTTGAAATTTTATTTAGTTTTTAAAGGAGGGTGTTACCGGACTGTTTTGATAGCAATCATACCACAGTGAGGGCATTGCTCAGCATTTCTAGTTCTAAAATGTAGATGGCTTGATTTGGCATGACCTGGGAATTCCAAGCCCCTAGCACTGTGACTTACATGCTAGGGACCCAGCAAATGTCTATTCTGCCTCAGATAACTCTCTAACCTCCCAGTTAAAAAATTTTCATCTTAGAAGCTCAATAAAAATATATCATATAAAGCATTTATATATTAATGGGGTGTTGAGTTTAAAATTATGAACACAGCCCAGCTGGTGTGGCTCAGTTGTGTCAATCTATGCACCAGGAGTTCATATATTACTAGCTAATGGTTGGGGATAGAGAGTTGAATTAGACAGGCACACACCCGGATTGCAGGCTCGATTCCCAGTGTTGGCCATGCAGGAGACAGCCAGTCAGTGATGTTTCTCTCCTGTTTCTATCTCTCTCACCCTCTTCTACTGAGATAAATGAAGCATCCATTTCCCCCTCTTTTTTGTGCATGAAATTTGGGGTGGATTGTATGTGCTTTTTCACTCTGTTCACAGAGATAATACTGGCCCATTTACATATGAGTTTTTGTAATGGTGGTTATGGGTTTGCACTGAATGATTCACGTGCTCTGTCCAATCCCCTTTACACAGTTTTGAGGTGACTAGTTAAGAGGGCAGTTTGTTTCCAAGTTAAATGATCCAGATGAATTCTGAAGCTATAAGCTTAGCTCATCATGATACTCTAATCAACAAAGAAGTTCAGTAGAGAACTATGCCATGCTCTCATTTCTGCTTGAAAATAGGCCTTTTGAGGTAGAAGGTACATGCATGTACCAATAAAAAAAGGAAATTGTATGTGATGAGTAAGATGAAGTTGTAGCAAGAAATAGTGTACTTTCATAAGTACTCCAAGAGAAACACTATATAAATAAATTTTGTATTTTTATTTTTAAATTAAAATAGAATCATGTTCATTTTATTTTTTATTGTTTAAAGTACAATATTACATATGCCTCCTTTTTCCTGATTGATTTCCCCCTATCCATTCCCACCCCCAACCTCCCCAGTGTCCATGTTCATTGGTTAAGCTAAGATGATGCATACAAGTCCTTTGGTTGACCTCTAACCACCCCTTGTCTCTGGATAATATTATGCTTTGTCTTATTTATGTGTTTGTTTGTTTATTTATTGAATGGTTTACTGTTCCTAGAGAGAGGGAAGAAGAGGGAGGGAGGGAGGGAGAGAGAGAGAGAAACATTGACGTGAGAGCACACCATTGATTGGGCTGCCTTCTGCATACCCCCTCCCAGGGATCGGGAATTGAACTGGCTGGCATCCTCCTGGCGCAGGGGACGACATCCAACCAACTGAGCCATTCCAGCCAGGCCATTTCCTTTTTCTTTTACGTTCTCACCCAACGACATTTTCGTTGTATTTTAGAGAGAGGGAAAGTGAGGGAGAAGTATGTACCCTGACTGTGAATGGAACCCAAGACCTTTTGGTGTATGGTATGACGCTCCTACCAGCTGAGCCACACTGGCCCAGCATATATTAATTTTCTAAGTAAACTACCATACTTTCAATGATCTCTTAGCTACTCAACAGCTATTTCTGTGGTCTTACGTTTTTAACAGCTTTTTAGTGTTAGAGCAAAACAGTTTCCAATTTGTTTAAAACATAGTGAAATAAAATTTATTTGCTTTTTATTGCCTATTTTGCTTTCCTCCAAGACACTTATTTTTCAAATTGCCTATATGTCACATTGTGGGAAGACACCCCCCCCCCCCCCTCATTTTCCGCTAGCAAATTTAATTTTGTTTAATGTGATTATATTTTTGTGGGGTTTTTTTTCCAGTCCAGCTTAATATTTTCTCTACACTGATTAAAATTATCCTGTGACTGAAGTTAACCATCTACTAGAACAGAAATGTGCATATAGACAAATGCATCACTGGGCATTTTGTGAATGTTGTTAGGTTGCCAGCTTTATTTTCAAGTTTCTCCCCCCTTCAGACTTAAATGTGATGTACTTATAAGGCAACAACAGTATGGTTAGTTAATTTATAAAATGAGAATAATTTTTCTGATTTTTCTATTTTGCATGTTTTGAGTTAGGATTAACTGGATGTTTATTATCCTATATAATAGAAGCCTAATATGCTAAGTGTCCGGTTGGCTGTTCAACCAATAAAAGCGTAATATGCTAATGATATGCTAAGGCCGCTCAACCGCTATGCCATGCACTAACCCCCAAGGGGGCAGATGCTCCAACCAGTAGGTTAGCTTGCTGCTGGGGTCCTGTCGCTCTAGACCACATGTGTCAAACACAAGGCCCGCGGGCCAAATCCGTCCCGCCAGGCCTTGCAATGTGGCCCGCACCGCACTGTCATCACTGCACTCCGCTGCGTTTCCATCACAATGACAGTTTATGACTGTTCAGTAAACAATTCGGCCCGCGATTTAGGCTGGATTTTAGATTTTGGCCCCTTCTCTGATTGAGTTCGACACCCCTACTCTAGACTGAGTGAGAAGGGCTGGACATGCCCTGGAGCCCTCCAGAGGTCCCTCCCCAACTGGCCAACCTCCTGCGTCCCTTCCTGGCCTGGCCTACGCCCTCTCGAAATCCGGGACCTCTCGGGGGATGCTGGAGAGCTGGTTTCGGCCCAATCCCTCAGGCCAGGCCAAGGGACTCCACTGCACCAGGCCTCTAGTGTTCATAAAAAGATACTCCTTGAAGTTACAATTTGAGCATTGTTTTTTATTGGGAAGAAATGGCATTTTACTAAAATGACAAACATGAGAAAGCTCATAGCATGTAGTAAAACCTATGAAAGACTAAATTATTTCAGGTACATGGGTGAGTTAGTCACATGATTCAGAACAAAAAATAACTACTTAGTGTTTAGAGCAATGGCTCTGGAGTTAGGCAAGCTAGGTTCAAATCCTTGCTTTGCCACTTACTAAATCATATTTGAGGCAACTTACTGTGTATGTAACTTAAGGTAACTTGCTAAATATATATGATTTGATATTTATGAAGTTTGGCTTTCTCATCTTTAAAAGGGGAATAATAACTACTTCAAAGGATTGTTGAGAGGATTAGAAATATTGTGTAAGACTGGCATGTAGTAGGCATTTAATAAAAACTAGCTATTGTTTTTTTGTTTGTTCTTTTAAAATATATATTTTATTGATTTTTTACAGAGAGGAAGAGAGAGGGATAGAGAGTTAGAAACATTGATGAGAGAGAATAATCGATCAGCTGCCTCTTGCACACCCCCTACTGGGGGGGGATGTGCCCGCAACCAAGGTACATGCCCTTGACTGGATTCGAACCTGGGACCTTTCAGTTTGCAGGCCAACGCTCTATCCACTGAGCCAAACCGGTTTCGACAGAACTAGCTATTGTTAAATTTGTTTTTGTGTGTTTTGTTTTGCCAGTTTGGTGGGTGGGGCAAGAGATGTCATTTGTGTGGTCTTGCCTACATGGCAGTGCAAAATGGCCTTGAGCAATGGCAGCCAGAGGGTAGTAGACATTCTTTTTATTTGTATTTTTTGCTTATTGATATCTATCTATTTATTTATTTATTTGTTTATTTATTTATTTTGAGGGAGAGAGAGAGAAACATCGATTTGTTCCACTCATTTATGCATTCGTTGGTTGATTCTTGTATGTGCCCTGATGGGATGGAACCCACAACCTTGACCCACTGGGACCATGCACTGACCAACTGAGCTACCCAGCCAGGGTGGTGGTAGACTTCTTTCTGGTAGGAATGGCATGAGCCAAGACAGAAAGTTCAGGAGAAGTTGGAGAACAGGAGATTCATTTGACAGAAGCCTAAGCCTATATAATTAGATAATTAGTAAATGTGGCCTTGAGGCCGTAAAGATTGATTGGGGCTAGGCTTTAGAACTCATTGAATGCTAGATTGAGAAGTATAGACTTTATTCAGGAGTGCAAGAAGTTTTGATAGGAGGAAAATAACATCTTTTGGAAGTTGAATGAATTGAGGAAGAAAGAGACTGGACACCAGGAGGCTGGTAATAATAATACAGGTGAGGCAGGATCTGAGAGTTTAAAGGAAACGAGGGAAGGTTTTGAGGGGAGTTGCTAGGAGTCACTGTTTTGAAAATCTGGCTCTTCAAGTGTACCCAGTTTGGAATTGAAATTCAAAAGAGAATTTGAGTCTAACTTACAGGCTCCATGGAGGTCGGCAACCTCTGAGAGAAGATAGGACTCAGTACACTTGGTTGTTGCTACCTATTTTAAAAATTGAAAGGTAAAAATTCCTGTTATTTCATTAGTGAAAAGCATGTTTAAGCTCTTGCTTTGACAAATTTGTAACTTTAGAAGTTTTATTTATTTAGCAATTTGAGTTCTTAGTGAACAGGGAGCCCTCACATTTAGACATTGGTACTTCTGGAGGTATCTTAAAATATGTCAGTGTGCAGCGCAGTTCTTCCGTGTGTGGTCGTTCAGCATTTGTGAATGTGACTGGACTTTAGAAACGTCAGTTGTGTGAGCAGAAATGATGAAAAGTAAAGTACAGACTTCTACTTTGGTAAGCAACCTAGAGTGGAGGGCAGTGAAAGATGAAGCAAGGAAAAATAGGATATTGAGTGTATGGTCTTTAGAAAAAATACTACTTTTAGTACTTCTCTCCCTTCCCCTTAATTTATCAATTATAAACAAATTAGTTTGTTCATGTCATTCTTAGTCATTCTGGTACCTGGCTCTAGCTCTGTTAATTGTACTTTCCACTTGGCTGAATAATACACAAGCAAATTAGCCTGAAGTTTGATATTAATATTTCTTTTTGACTCATAAGTAAACTCACTGCTGCTCTGAATTATCTGCTCACTGTCTGTCTTTAACATTACGAGTTGAGAAAAGAAGCAACCCCCAATTTGTAAACATCACATATTGGTTAGTGATACTTTCATGATGTTTGCTTAAAGTATTACATATATTAGTATATATCTCTCCTTTTCCCCCCATTGACCTTCCCCCAGCTCCCCTACGTCCTGTCACATGCCCTCATCCCATCCCCCCCCCCGTCTTGTGTCCATTGGTGTGCATGTTTGCATATTTTAAAGCACTGAGTTGTTACACCTTTCTAAATGTTTTTTTTTTTAGTTTTCAAATATTTTCTAAGCTCAGAAATTAAGTCCTTATTAATTTTTATTCAAATCTCTTTCATTTAAAAGTGAATTTGAAAATATTTTTAAATACGGACATGCACCATTTCTGTAGAAATGGACCACACCTACAATGATAGTGCCATCAAATTGTAATGGGACTGAAAAATTCCTCTGCTCAGTGACAGTCATATCCCAGTGCATTCATCACTCATGTGTTTGTGGTGATGCTGGTATAAACAAGCCTGCTGTACATACAGTTATTTACAGGACAGAATACTTGATCATGATGACCTGTTGCTGGTTTATGTATTTACTGTACTATTAATTGTTATTTTAGAGTGTACTCTTCCTACTTGTAAAAATGTTTGCTGTAAAGGCATGCCAGGTTACACTGGCAGTAGCTTCTTGTATCACTTGCTCACTTTCTTGATTGCATCATTCTGCCTTGCATTTGATTTAATCTTATGTTATTTTAAAATTTTGTGTAGCAAACATGCACTTTATAAAAAAAAAAAAAAAAGGTTTACAGTTACATGCAATAATGTCCTCGGCCTTCACAGTCACTCACCACTCACTGACTGACTCACCCAGAGCAACTTCAAGTCCTGCACGTTCTATTCATAAGTGCCCTATATAAGCGCACCATTTTTCATCTTTTATATCGTATATTCACTCTCTCCCTTCTGTGTTTAGATATACAAATATTTACCATTGTGTTACAGTTAACTACTGTACAGATGTGTAGCCTTCGAGCCTATGTGGGTAGGAGGCTGTGCCATCTAGGTTTTATAAGTGCACCTTATGTGCACTTTGCGATGTTTGCACAATGACAAAATCTCCTAATGGCCCATTTCTCAGCACCTGTCCCCATCATAAAGCAGCACTTGACTGTAATAAGCAAATATAGCACATAATATTGGGCATAGTCTGTGTTACTTTTTATAAAGACTGTGTTTTCCTAATGAAACTTCAGAAGCCCAGATTTGGTTAACTGAGTGATACTTCATTTACTAAAGGGACCCCAGATAGTCAAAACAGTCATTTAATGTCTCAAACTATAACATCCTAGTCGAGTCTATTTGAATTGGTTCGAAGATATTTCTGTTTGTCAACAGAAAGCAGAACTACAGTCATTCCCTTAGGGCTGATTATCCTTACCCTTCCCTCGTCCCCCCCAGCCAAGCTGAGAGTAGGAGCTGCCCTGGTTTGGGCCATTTTGGCACTGTCACTGTGCTGGCATTTGTGGCCTTCCCAGTATGTATGTCTTAAATTCTTAGAAGTAAGAAGTCTGCTTCCATTTTGGCAGGAAAAATAAGTTATGAATAAGACTGAGTGGCTTATGATATACTATTATAAGAAAATTCACAATTTTATATGTTAATTATACTTCAGTAAAGCTGAAATAAAAAAAAATTTATGTGAGGTGACATGTGAAGTGTGTGAAACAAGAGTAGACTTTCTATTGTAGTACCAAAAATTGAAATAAAAGAGCATAAAGCACACTAGGGCCTTTTTTTTCTTTTTCTTTTTTTTTATAATATATTTATTGACTTTTCACAGAGAGGAAGAGAGAGGGACAGAGAGTTAGAAACTTCGATGAGAGAGAATCATCGATCAGCTGCCTCTTGCACACCCCCCACTGGGGATGTGCCCGCAACCAAGGTACATCTTTGAAGGCGGGGCAGCAATTAGCATATTCCCTCCTTATTGACTGCGCCTGTCGACATCTTTGTGACAGTGTGAGGATCAATTAGCATATTCCCTCTTTATTAGATAGGATATTGCTGACAGCAAACTACCCAAAGCAGGCACATCTATTTTATGCTTTTTATACAAAAGCACAAAAAATATTTGTATTTTGCTTGCATCACAAACATGAATAAATACGAATTAATGTTCATTTCAAATATGAATGAATGAATATGAATTTTAGTGAATAAATGAGTCAGTAGGTGAATGATAGAAGACAGCCTTTAACTCAATAATTTTTTCTTCAGTGCAGCACAACATTTTTCTTTCAGATGAGTCTAGAAAATTTTTCTCTGTACAAAACTCCCTCTTCTCTCAGGTGGTTTAAATTACTTAAACCACACAGTACAAAGAGGGAAATCAAGACCAGAGACATGGAAAGCATCACTTCCACTTAGATTTTAACTAAGTAGTATGTAATGTTATCAGTCTGTAATGCTATATCTGCGTTAGACCCTTCTAGTCACATTCAGGATGTTATCTTTTTGTTCTGTTTGTATCTCTTAAA